GTTTTATATCGTGATATATATATCGTTACCGCCACCCATCATAATGTATATCGTGATGTGAATTTTTTGCCATATCGCACATTCCTAGTTGTTAATCACAATAATACATTAATATTTGGTCTCAATCCTATTTTTATGATATTATAATTAGGGATTTTTGATGTCAATATAAAAAGGAAACCTCAAATAATGTGTGAATACTAATACTTCTTTCCTAACTGGAAAGAAAAAAAGCTATGAAAAGTTTCTGAATTTTGAGGCGTCTTTTACTTAAAAATCACGTTTTTTTGTTGCTACTGCTCAAAAAACGGCGGAAATTTTTTTTAGGATCATTTCCGGTCATTCAAATGATATATTGTTATGGCATTTAGTCTTTATACCTTGATGAAATGCAATTATTGCAAACATTTTACTCAAAACACTATATCTGCCTGTTTCTCCACATCACTTTGGGACCTAATCCTTGTTTTTGATGTGATGGTTCATTAGGTGGTTTCATCTGTATTACTAAAATGAGTGATTTAATAATCACAGTAAAGTCATACATTGCTGACCTAATAGCATGAATTAAATAATAATTATGTGCAAGTAAAGTCAGTCAACGGCAGTGTCAAATAAATACATGACTGAATGTGGATATAAGCACTGAGCTGATCAAAGTCCCACTAATGATTTCATATCAGCTCCTACTCCAACGCCATCAAATGTAACTAACCGTAAATACCAGCATCAGATTTAATTCAGCTCAATTAGGTTGCATTTATATGGAGCGAATTCAAACATTTTCCTTTGAGCAAACACCAGTGTAACATGACATACGTACAACCATTATACAGTCTACTATTATAACTGAAATATTACTGAGCAACTAGAAAACTGTTTTGTTTTGCAAAGTCTAAAAGCCTAGAAAACKGMATGATTGAATGAAAGACATTTTAATATTAAATCATTAATTGCAACGTGCTCTTTTTGATGTGTCTTGAAACGAATTATGAAATTAAAGAGGATTGTAATGACTATTTTATTTTCAGCAAATGGTTTKAACTACAAACAACAAATACCCAGTTTGCTAGAAATCTCATCTTATTTCTGCTATTGTTAGCAAAAGTTCTTTAAGCATACTTTCCCTTCACCAGAACAAAATAATAAAAAAACACTTCATAAACATTCTAGTTTGAGAAAAATATTCTTTCAACAAACAATAATTTAAACTTTAGCTTTGTTGTAAACATGTTTTGAGTAATTTGTTTCAAACGACTCAATTTCATTGCATCAATATCAATAGAACAGTTTCCAGTGATGCTGTACACAAGTCATTGGCTGTTTCATTTGTCAGCTGCTTATATCACTGCCCCGCGCCGTACGTAGACTGTCCCAATTGAAGAGCGACTACTAAGGCCGGGCGGTATGACCTCAAATTCATATCATGGTATAAACTGAATCCCTTCATGGTAACGGTATATATCACGGTAGAAAATTTTCCTAAAAAGCACAGATAATGTAATTTTTAGAGCGAACATTTAGCAGAAAACTGTAATCATAATCAAACACAGTATTTTTGCTGTAGTGCAAATGAACTAGGGGTGTAAGAAAATATCTATACACTGAAATATCGTGATATTTCAT